AGTGTTAGAAAGGCTTAAGAGAAAGTCTCTAGAATAAGACATAATAATATTTTCAAGTTAAGGAAAAGATGTTGAAAGATATAGAAAAAAATAGTCATAGTAAAAAAGAAGAGAACTCACTTGTTCAGAAGCAGAAAACAAGAATCCACCCAAATTAAAAAACCACCGAGAAAACGTGCCGCCATCACGCTAAACGTAAACCAAAGTAGGAGATACAAACATATCCTTTAGTACAACAGCTGTCAATTTGGGGATTCTGCTGGATAATGAGCTATCTATGAAAGACCACATCAGGATGATTTCAGTCTCAGCCATTGCTCATCTTAGAAATTTATATCGAGTCAGACATTTGCTGGATAGATCAACTCTGGAGGATCTGGTCCATGCGTTCATAACATCACGACTGGACTACTGCAACAGTTTGTTTTACGGTTTGCCTAATAGATCAATTGACATTCTTCAGTCGGTTCAGAACAGGGCTGCAAAACTTGTAACTGGCAAATTGAAATTTGACCAAGTAACTCCAATATTGAATGAGCTTAACTGGTTAAAAATTAAGAAAAGAATAATTTTTAAAATTGCAGTGATTGTGTTTAAATCCTTGAATGGAATGTCACCGGCTTACATCTCAGATAAATTTTCCATGAAGGCATCTACAACTTGTTTTTATCTAAGATCAGATAATATGAATCTTTTGGCGGTCCCAGCTAGGCATCTACGAATAGGTGCGAGAGATATTGCGGTCGCAGGTCCGACAGTCTGGAATGACCTACCAGTTTCATTAAGAAGATCTGGAATTAACTTTGTGACATTTAAAAGGGAATTAAAAACATACTTATTTTCTGTGGAAAAACAATGAATTTGAATATTTTGATTTATATCAATCATGCACAGTTATTTTGTTATTTTATTTTTGATAGCGCTTTTGAAATTATTAATTTGCGCTATACAAATGTTTCTAAATAAAAAAATATATATATATATATATATATTTCAAAAATTCAACACTATTTTCAACATTGTTCAACTTTTTTATATTTCTTTTTAATTTATTAATGTCAAAGAAATTAGACATTTTATTGTTTTTTTTTCAAATTTTTATTAAATAAATTTGCAAATAGAAATTAAAATTTAGTTAAAATTTTAAAAATCGCGTTTTATATTGTTTAATGTTATTAAATTTATTTTATCGGTTTTCTGTTTTAATTAAATAATTTATATAAATTAATAATTACTTGTTCCTTCTTATCAAATATCTTACATACCTTATATATAATGCACTGAAGATGAGTTATCTATAACTCGAAATAGCTATTTGCAAATTTATTTAATAAAAATTTAAAAAAAACAATAAAATGTCTAATTTCTCTGACATTAATAAATTAAAAAGAAATATAAAAAAGTTGAACAATGTTGAAAGTAGTCTTGAATTTTTGAAATGTTGCGTTAACAACAGTCTGTTACCAAAATATATATATATATATATATATATATATATATATTTACATATATATATTTACATATATATAATTAATATCTTTAATTAATAGAACATACATCTTTTTCTTTCAATAATAATCAACTGATTATATACTGATGATTCTTATACATATATCCTCCTTTTCTAGAATCTTATTCACATCAAACTAATAATCCAACGTTATGTCTTAAATCTTTTACTTCTTGGATTATCTCTAAGTTGGAACTAATTTGTCAAAAAATTCTATCAATCTTTTTTCTATTATTAATACTAAACGTTTTAAATATTCTCATTCTCACTATTTCATGATATTTGTTAAACATTCGTATTCTAAATCTACTTTCGCTTAGTCCGGTCCGCTTTTGTCGAGTAATTTACATTCTTCTAAACCTAATTCTTCTAAACCCCTTTCATTAACCAGGACTGGTATGGGAAATCACAAAGAAAATCACAAAGAAAATCACAAAGCCGATACTCACTGGTGACATTTGGAATCTAATATATGCTGATGATATCGTTTTAACAGCTACGTCTGAGCAGAGTGCAGCAAAAATCCTGCGTCGTGCTGGTTTAGATAATATAAAGGACGAATGCTAACAACACAAGCTGCGGTGGTTTGGTCATGTCAAACGAAGTGGAAACAGTGCCATAACTTTTCTTGCAGATGTTGAAGTACCTGGTACACGTCCCAAAGGCCGCCCAAAGAAGTCCTGGTCGCAAACAATCGAGCAAGACATGAAAGCTCTAAATTTAAATGAAATGGATACAACTGATCGTCTAATTTGGCGCAAAAAATTGATGGCAAAGAAAATAACGTCCTACCTTGGAGAACCGGGTTTCTGGACGCTAAACGAAGATTGATTGATTAATTAGGACCGGTCTCAAAACTTTTTTTTTTTTAAATTAATTTGATGAATGTTGTTGACTAAATGATTGGTTGTTAATTTTAAAGATTATTTAATCCTTTGTTTTATTTATCTTTGATTATTTCATCTATTGCCAGCTTGATTTTTCATGCTTATTTGATTAGTTATTTGATTTTTAGGTGCTTGCGTAATCGACTTAATGCTTGTTTAACTAAATATTCGTTCTAAGCTTTCGTTCTAAGCTTGTTTGATTATTAATTATTACTTGATTTTTGGTGCGCTTACTTTATTAGCTGTTTAGTTTTCTATGCTTTGTTTGATGAATTATTGTTTTTTTTGTATTGTTGTAACTTGTACGATTGTCACTGCTGACATCAGTGTTGTAACTTCAAAGATACCACTTTTGACACCAGTGTTGTGACTTGCACTATCGTCAAGCTTATCGATATATTCTGTAGGTTTAAACGCAAATTTGTTTAAACGTTTATTTGAATTCCAACAGTTACAGGAGCGCTAAATTATTCACTAATCTGAAAAATTATGTAGTGGTCCAAGAGTGTGGAATGAATTGACGAGGAAGGGATTTTAGTTCAGAGCTTTTGGCCATTCTAGTTTCCAGCCATATATATATATATAGAGTATATATTCAATTTTATATTCTATATATATGTTTCCAGCGATCGTTGAAGTCATTTCTAAAAACAGTTTTTTGAATTCCTGCTTGATATAAATTTGTGTGTGTGTGTAGCTGATGGAAGAATAAGTGTTTACATGATGGCTTTTGGTTATTCAGGCTCAGGAATACTATCTTTATAGTGGTGTATGTATATATATATATATATATATATATATATATATATATATATATATATACCTACATACATGGCGTCGAAAATGGCGTTTAAGGCAATTGTTGTTAATGAATTATTGTATTTTTTAACCAATTATCTCGGTTTATTGGATAATGAAGCCTCCGTTACCACGTTTCTGAATTTTATTCTCGGGATGAGGTTGTTTGTAGCTTAGAATGTTTGAAAAGTGAAGTGGAATTGTATAAAAGCAAAATTGAAAACAACAATGATAAATTAATTTTGAATGGGACAACTAAAAAAGACGAATTGTTCGATTGCATTACTGTTCTTAAGTGTCATGAATCAAATAATTTGCTAGAAAAGTGTCCGGTTTTTGTCAGCAAAGGTTTAACAAGAGTGCCCAGATTGGAAAATGTCATTAAGGTGAGTTTTGAAAATTTTTGTAATGAAACAAGCGAAATGGTAACGAAACAACAGGTGTGCTGTCCAATACACTTGAGTCTTGCAAAAATCAATTATCACAGGTGGACTCTTTCTAAAAGCAAATACTCTAGGTGAACGAAAGATTAAATTCTCTAGCTTTGAACTTTAATAGACCTGTTGCTGCAACAAAATGTATTAAAGCTGATGCAAATTTAACTCAACCTTCAAACAGTGCACGTCGTATCAACAAAAATATTAATTCGAATAGTGAAGCAATAAAAACACCTACGTTTAATATCAAATTACCATGGGCAGATAGACACTAATGATGCACAGTGATGACAATCAGACTGGCGATAACTTCACGTTAGTTAAACGCGGTAAAATAAAATAAAACCCAGAACCTTACTTCTAGTCGTGGTTAAATCAGAGACTCCTCTATTTGTACAACGCAAACAAAACCAAGCAGATTTTGATAAGATGATGAATGAAGAAAACTGGCCAAATGATGTCATTCTTCATGAATGGTGTTTCTTCAACAATCAAGCTCAGCAAACAATTTCAAACACTGCCGCACCATCATCTCATCATGGCTAATTACAATTTAACCACTTCGTTTGACTCTGATCTGAATGACAATTTCTCTAATGATAAAAACATCACTTTAAATTCAATAGATCCTGATATCTTCAACAATATCTTCAACCAGTCCGTTTTCAAACTACCAGAAGTTAATCAGTTTATCAATCTCCAGCATTCTTACACAATAATGCATTTTAACAGCCGAAGTCAGAACAAAATTCATGATTATTCCAAATAAAAAAATACGCCTATATATGACACAACCTTAACATTGAATTCCAATGAAAATAATGATCAGAGAGAGCATAACGAAAGTTGATAGCTTTAAACTTCTGGGTGTATGCATCGACAATAAACTTAATTTTAATGACCATATCGAACTCATCTTAACAAAAATTAATATAAGTTTTGACATAATCATAAGAATAAAATTTTTTTAAAATAATAATACTCAAAGACTACTTTGCCAATCATTAATTTTTAGTCATTTAACTATGGTAACTTAGTATGGGGTAATACAAACACTTAACAAACTAAACAGCGCACAAAAAAGATAATTAATTTTCTATTCAAAACAGATTATACACGCTCCGATTACAACATATTTAATAATAATAATATTTTGTCAATTTTTGAAATAAATTCCTATAAATCATCTTTACTAACATTTAAAATAATCAACAATATAACATCTACAACTGATATAATGTTAATTAATACAATTAAAATTATAGCTAACCCAATGATTGACAGAACTAACAATACTAATATAATTAAGCCATTAATGAATTTAAATAAAATAACATCTATGAACTTTTGTTTTTATGCACCATATAAATGGAATAATCTGCCACAATATTTAAGATCAATTAATAATTTAACAGAATTTAGAAAGAAGTTGAGAATATTTTACAATTGTTTTGGTTAAATATATTAACAGGTTTTTTTGTGATTTTTATTTTAGAAAATTTAAGAACAATGAGGTATTTAAGAGACAAATTTATTCTAATAATATAAGTCTATATTTTGTAATTTATTGTTTTATGGGAGTCAACCCTAGATGAGCATGTATTGCTAGACCGACTCTCACTTTTTTGTGAATAAAATGGATTAAAAAAATGATTGTTTTTCATTAATCTGTATTACCGAAACTTGGCTTAATGACTTAAATGCTAATTTAATTAAGTTACCTGGATTTAATTTTGTTTCAAAAAAATCGTGTTTCCTCCACAGGAGTTGGTGTCGGTATATTTGTTTCAAGTTTTCTAAAATATATTCGTGACGACCTTTTATATTCTTCTCCTTTTTTTGAATTGCTAATCATTTAATTGCTAAATATTGATTATTCTAATTATTTAATTTATGTTATCTATCGCCCTCCCAACACTGACTTGAATTGTTTTATAAATGATTTAACATGTTTACTTTTGAAAATTCCAAAATCAAGTAAATCTGTCTATATATTAGGTGACAATTTTCATTCTTTAATCACCATTCTTACTCGTGTCACTGCTACTACGTCATCATAAATTTTTTTTAGTTTTTATTGTTGCAGCTCTGACATACGCAGAACCACTTACAATCTTGCATATGTAGATTATGTTCTTCATATCTTCAACCATTGATTTGAAGCAGCCATCTTCGCCACAAACTTTGTTCAAAAATAATTGGTGGAAACAGTGCCATAACTTCTCTTGCAGATGTCGAAGTACCTGGCACACGTCCCAAAGACCGTCCAAAAAAGTCCTGGTCGCAAACAATCGAGCAAGACATGCTCTAAATTTAAATGAAATGGATACAACTGATCGCCTAATTTGGCAAAAAATTGATGGCAAAGAAAACAACGTCCTACCTCGGAAGAACTGGGTCTCTAGACGCTAAACGATGATTGATTGATTGATTTTCGCCACAAAGGTTGTTTATCCTTTTCACACGACGTACACATGTACACAAGTATCAGCAACTTGAAGTTCTGTTGCAACTTGTTCAACTGAAACTTCTTTTTCTGCAACCTTTTCTCTGACAAAAAAAAATGTCTAATATGGATATGCTTTGTTCTTCTGTGAAGTTCTGAATTATGTGCTAAACGAATCGCTGCTTCATTGTCGACAAAAATTTCTGGCTTTTTCTTTAGATCTACAATGACGTTCAACAATCGTTTGAGCCATATCATTTCACGAGCTGCTTCACTTGCGGCAACGATTCTTGCTTCGGTAGTTGAAATCGCAACTGAAGGTTGACGTTGGCTAAACCAACTGATCACGCTTCCTCCAAACATACAGATTACACCTGATGTCGATTTTTCACTAGATTTATCGCCTCCATAATCTGCACCTCAGTAGGCTATTAGTGTATTATTTTGACCGGACTTAAACAATACCGACATCTGCTGTGCCTGGCATATATTTGAAAATTTGCTTGACTTGTGTTACATTGGACTTGCTGGGTTTTTACAAACTTCTGGATGCTACTCCAACTGCATATGCAATATTTGGTCTTGTTCCCGTCATCAAGTACATCAATGCACCAACTGCTGATCTGTAAGGAAATTTCACTTCCTCGTGTTCATTTTTGTTTTCATCGAACTCCTCAGATTTTGTAATCGGAGTTGTACAGGGTTTACACTGACTCATCTCAAACTTTTCAAGAATCATTCTTGTATAAGATGACTGATTGACTTTAATATTTTCCTTCTCATCTTGATTAATTTCTAAAATGGAAATATGTTGCAGGTTTAGATGTTATCTTGAATTCTGACTTTAATTCTTTTTCGAAAATTTTTACTTCTTCTTTATCGCTTCCTGCAACTAATCCATCATCAACGTACAGTGCGAGTATGAGTTTCTTTCCTTCCTATATTCTAATGAACAAAAAGTATCTGCATTGCATCGCTTTGTTTGAAATGTTTCTTTTTCAAGAATTCAGCAAAGCGTTTGTTCCAACATCTTGGAGCTTGTCTAAGTTCATAGAGACTTCGCTTGAGTTTACAGACTCTTCCTGAATCATCTTTAAAACCTTCAGATTGCTCCATTTTCATCTAGTTTGCTGTATAAAAATGCTGTCGACACATCAAACTGCATGAGTGACATCTTTTCATTTGCAGCAACACTTAATAGTGTCTTTATAGTTGAACTTCTAACAACAAGACTATAGGTTTCTTCATAGTCAATTTCTTTTTTTGCGAAAAACCTTTTATCACTAGCCAGGCTGTAAAACGTTCAACAGAACCATCTGGATTGTGTTTTACCTTGTAGATCCATTTGCTTGGTCTTGCCTTATGACCTTTTAGAAGATTTACCAAATCCCACGTTTGACTGCATTTTACTGTTCATGGCTTTAAACCATTCGTCTTTTTCATCACTTAAATTGGCATCTTTGTAGCTCTCTGGTTCAAATACTTCACATAATGCAGACATAACAAAAAGATCAAAACAAGATGGTTTTTTGATATTATTCCTGTCACGTAAAACCATACCTTTGGTCATTTGATTACAACAATCAGATTGATCTTCTTTATCAGATAAAACTGAATAATGGTTGTGAACATCTTCATCAGTTGAAAAATTTTCTTGAATCAAAGTTTCTTTATTATCATCTTTGATTTCATCATCAATCGAAACTGTATCATCTGAACAACTTTCTTCTTGAATAATCACTGAATTTGGTTTGACAACCTTCTCATCAAAAATAACATCTCTTGGTCGAAGCATTTTATTTCCTGGTTGAACAAAAATTTGTAGCCATCGTCACCTTCATATCCAACGAGAATACCCTTTACAGCTTTAAAATCCATTTTTCGTCGTTTCTGCATAGGAATATAACTGCAATGCATCTTGATCATTGATAAAGTTAACTTCAACTTAAGAATTCAACGGTCTAACAGTTTTTGCTACAGGTTTAAACAAACCTCCAATATTGTTTCTTATTCCAACAACATTTATCACATTGTCAATAAGTAGATGACAACTTCTTGAGGTTGAAACAAAAGAGCTATTTCTGTTCTTATCTTGAGTTAAAAGTACTGAGAACACGTTTCTTTTTACTTTTGGCACATACCAGACCTCTGTGAGTTTAACTGTTTGCCATTATTATTCATTTTCATTTGAAGATGAACAATTCCTTTTCCAAAAGCTTCTACAGTATCACCATTTGCAACATATAATTTACTCGGTTGAGAACATTTTTCAAAACTTTGAAATATGTCTCTTTGGAAAGTTAAATAACACGTTGCTCTATTGTCAAAAAACCCCTCATCAGTGTACGCTGACTCGTCAACTGCAAAAACACTTGATTCCATAACAACTAGTGATTTATTATTGTCATCGCGTAGATTGTTATTTCTTGGTTTTGCTGGTTTACCATCGGAATGCCATTTTTCACAATTTCTTACAATGTGACGTGGCAATTTGCAGTAATGACAAATTTATCTTGTTTCTGACCTTTAAAGGTCATCTGCTTCCGCGCGACCGCCTCTTACAGCCGCACCTGTCATCAACCCTCATGTTGCCACACGTGGTTCTTTGGCGTCGGTCTCGGAGAGTCCCTCCCAAGTAGATTTTTTTCATCTTTTTGACAGGCTGACGGCCGTTTTGAGGACTGCTCATCTGTATGATCACGTTCCCAAACCGTGTAGAGACAAGGTATCTAAAGCATTGTCGGCTTTATTGACGGCCGTTTGTGACGATCCCTGCGACGCGGCCCATTGGTGCAGGCTCCAATGTTTTTTCACATTTGTTTTGTTCAAGCCCACCAGGGGCGGTCGCAGGATTAATCAAGCCAATTACGTTTTTGAACGGTTGGCCGAATTCAGTTCAACCGAGGTCAAGATTATTGACAAGCTTCAACACTGACCACAACACCAAACCGCGTAAGCACAATCTAAACAGTTGGATTAGTGCAGTAACTACTCGGATCGAACAGGGCAGTCTCTCGGTGGCTGTCAGACTTGCTTGTTCGCTCGTGGGCATAGCGGAGAACTCGTCTGAGACACTCGCTAAACTCAAGGCTATTCATCCCAGTACTCCATTGAACAGGTGAGCTTTCCCCGCGCAGGAGCCGTCTAATGGTCGCGTTTTACCAGCCCAGGTGTTGACGGCTTTAAAGTCGTTTAATAATGGTTCATCTGGAGGCCTTGATGGCTTGAGGCCTCAGCACATAAAGAATTCCCCATCGTGGTGGGGAATTTCTGGAGGAGGCTGGCCAGTAAGTGCGCTCTGGTGCTAGTGTTGGAACAGGTCAAAGCCAAACTCTATCCTATCCAATTGGGCGTCGGCGTGAAGGGTGGTGCTGAGGCGGCCGTCCACGCCATACGTGAACTGATTTTAGCACTTCCAAAACAGTGGGGATTCTTGAAGATTGATTTCAAGAACGCTTTCAACACCCTGAGAAGAAATTCAATGTTAGAGGTAGTTAAGCAGCATTGTCCTCAAATTTATAATTTTTGTCATTCCGCATATGGCCGAGTCTCTTCTCTTGGTTACGACGCCTGGGTGGTGGAATCGTGCGAGGGTGTACAGATATCAGCTTGGCCGCAGAGGGTAACACCTTAGCAAACGACTTCCTGTCGCTGAGGGTCGGCGCTTTCATCATTGGTCTTGAATTAAACGCAAACAAGTGTGAACTACTCGTAAATGACACGTTGCAAATGCCACAGGTGCTGGCTAATATCCCCACAATGCCCCATTCATCATTAAACTTTTTATGCACTCCAATGATGGCCGGCAATCATCAGAACAGGTTTTTTAATAAAAAACTTTTTGAGCTAAGATTTGCCCTCAAACGTGTCTCTCTTCTCCCGGTCCACGACGCACTGACTATCATCCGAGGCGCCCTCAGTTTGCCGAAATTGATGTATTTTTTGCGCACATCCAACTCTGTTAATGCGGCCATTTTGTGCGAATTTGAGGGTGCTCTGCGGGTGGCCCTCTCAGCCATTTGTAACATCGATATTACTGACAAAGGTTGGTCTCAGGCTCAGCTGCCGGTACAATTTGGGGAACTGGGGTTACTAAGCGTGGTTCAGCTTGCATCAATTGTTTATAAATCTTCTGCATCTGCCACGCTTGACCTACAGTCTGCCCTTCTTTGGCAATTTAGTAGCCTACACTGTACTCCACCGACTCCATTCCAACCAACAGACCTTTTCCAGGGCAAAATTTTGGAGGAAGCATATAAACGCACATTCAAAGAATTGCATTCCTCAAGTCCTGACTCGGCGACCTCAGCTCGCTTGCTGGCAGTATCCAGCGAGGCGAGTTGTGGCTGGCTGAAATTTTTGCCCAATACGTCAGTGGGTACCAGATTGGATGACGAAACGGTCAGGACAGCCATTGGTTTCCGTCTGGAGTTGGCCGTTCAGAGTCGATACACATGCAGGTGTGGCGCGGAGGCGGATGAACTCGGCCATCATGGTCTTGTTTGTCGTTTGGGCGGAGGTCACCAGCAGCGACATTCAGCCATAAACAATTTTGTGTGCCGGCTTTTCTCCAAGGCCTCAATTCCGGTTTTAAAGAAACCGTCGGGCATTGCGGCGCATGATGGTAAGCGTCCTGACGGATGTACCTTGATTCCTTGGAGAGCCGGCAGGTGCTTGGCGTGGGACGTTACCGTTCCGGGCACCTTTGCTGAGCGCTACGTGCAGCTTACTAGCAAAGAAAGCGGTTTGGCTGCAACCAGGGCATCTGATGAAAAGATCAAGAAGTATGACGAAGCTCTCCCCTCGATGGAGTTTTTACCGATTTGTATCGAGGTCCTCGGCCCCATGGACCGTAACACATCCAAGTTTTTCAATCACATTTGGAAACATATTAGTATTAGGTCAGGTGATAGTAGGGAGTATTTTTTCGTTATGAATAATATTTCGTGCATTCTGCAGCGGTTTTTGCGCGTCTGTGTGTAAAATGTGCATTTGAATGCCGACGTGGTTGAGTGACGTTATAGCAAATAAAATCAAATTTAGTCAGACGCTTGGCTTTTGGTGTCATTCGTCAATGATTTGGTTTTAACATACATTATTATTATTATTATATAGTTCAAGAGTCAATTGAAGACATATCTTTTTTCCTTGTAGAAAATTGCCATAGTTGTATAGCGCCTATGAGAATGTTTTTAATAGGCGCTATATAAATGATCATATAATAATATAATGATAATAATAATAATAATAATAATAATAATAATAATAATACATACATACATACATACATACATAGATACATACATACATACATACATACATACATACATACATACATACATACATACATACATACATACATACATACATACATACATACATACATACATACATACATACATACATACATACATACATACATACATACATACATACATACATACATACATACATACATACATACATACATACATACATACATACATACATACATACATACATACATACATACATACATACATACATACATACATACATACATACATACATACATACATACATACATACATACATACATACATACATACATACATACATACATACATACATACATACATACATACATACATACATACATACATACATACATACATACATGGATTGTTTTAATTTCCCGATTATTTTGCTAAATTCATAGATTTTAAATTGTTTTCATAGATGATTTTTAGGGCCATCGGCTGTAAATTTGTCCCGGGTTTGTTTTTCCGTCATTTTTTATCGTTTTTCTATCCTGCCTCGGCCAATTTTCTCGTTTTTTGTTTTTTTTTATCAATATTATAATTTATTCACAGCTCATAGCTGCTACAGGTCACCGGCCTGCGCCAGGTGTGAGCTGTTTTTATTATTATCGGAAAGTTCACTACATTTTAACTTATTTGCCTTCTACCGACATTTATTTTTAATTTACTTTTGAAATTAAAATTTAAAGTTTAAATTAAAATTTATTTATAAAAAAGAAATGTCCTAAACCAATTTTTAAAATTTGTGTAAAAATAAAATAAACTATAAGGGAGAGATTGGGCCAAAGTTTGCTGCAATAGTTGTCTCCTCCCACACTGTTACCTAGGTTTTTGTATTCACTCATTCACTCATTTGCTCACTCACTCATTCATACATCAATAAAAAAAAGAAAAGAAAAAAAAATAAATAAAAGTTGAAACACTGGTTAAATATTTAAAGATAATTCAGTCATTCATCCGTTCGCTCGTTCATTCATTCCGTCACTCATTCATGTATTCATTCATTCATCCATTCGTTTGGTTGTTTATTCATTCATTTATTTATTCACTCACTCATTCATTCTTTTTTTTCTCTCACTCGTCCGTTCAGTAATTAGCTCATTCATTCCCCCATCATTCACTCATTCATCCGTTTGTTCGCTGGCCCGTTCCTTTGGTCATTCGCTTGTTCATTCATTCACTCATCCATCCACCCCACTTGATTTGTTTTCTTTCCCTCGTTTCATGGTTGTTTTTAATCACATATGGCTCCAACGTTACAACAGTGCCCCGTCTGCTTTAACCACTATAGAAGCACTCCAGACGGGAAGTTATGTCGGCACGGAGGTAAAGTGAAAGGACAGGAATGCTCGGGGTGCTTGCCAGGAATGACAGGAATGCTTGCCCACTCTCCGTCCGCCGGTTCTTTTTTGGAGGCCGGCTAATAGCTTTAAATAAGAAAGACGGAGGGGTTAGACCGATTGCGGTCGGGAACGTTTGGAGGAGGTTGGCCGGCAAATGTGCCTTGGCCCTGGTCGTGGTCGAACTCAAGACCAAGTTCTACCCGACTCAGTTGGGTGTCGGGATTAAGGGTGGCGCTGAGGCCGCTGTTCATGCGGTTCGAAGATTGGTCACCGACCTCCCCGATCAATGGGAGTTTCTGAAACTGGACTTTAAAAATGCCTTCAATGACTTGAGAAGAGACTCGATGTTGGAGGCTGTCAAACTTTTTTGCCCCAATATCTATAATTTTTGCCATTCTGCCTATGGCGGAGTCTCTTCCCTCGGCTACCACTCTTGGGTTGTAGAATCGTCCGAGGGGGTACAGCAGGGTGATCCCCTTGGTCCTTTGTTGTTCGCACTAACTCTTCATCCACTCTTAGAGAAAGCTTCGTCCACTTTCGTTTGCGCTTATCTGGATGATATCAGCATAGCTTCGGACGGTCCAACTCTGGCCGATAGCTACGAATATTTGAAGCATAACTCCGCTGCAATTGGTTTAGAGTTAAACATTAAAAAATGCGAACTTCACTGCCAAAGTTTATTTCAGGTGCCACATGCGCTGGCTGAAATACCCAGAGTTGGTGCATAAGAACTGAGTTTTTTAGGCACACCCTTGGTCGAGGGTGATTATCAAATAAAGTTTTTTGACCAAAAGCTCTCTGAGCTTAAATTCACCCTGGGTCGTGTTTCCTATCTTTCGGCCCATGATGCCTTGACTATTATCCGCAATGCTCTCAGTTTGCCCAAATTGATGTACTTCCTGCGTACATCTAAACACATTGACCCTTCAAAATTGGGCGAATTTGACGGAGCCCTGCGCACCGCCCTGTCGTCGATTTGCAATGTTCAAGTGACCGACAGTGGTTGATCCCAGGCTCAGCTGCCGGTGCGATTTGGTGGGCTGGGGTTGCTTAGCGTGGTTCAGCTGGCTCCCGTTGTTTATAATTCTTCTGCCGCTGCCACTCTCGACCTGCAGTCTTTTCTGCTCCACCGGTTTTTTCGTTGCCGCAATATTCTTCCCCTAGTGTCCGCCCCGGGGGACCGTACGCACGTCCAAATTTTGAACGAAGGATATAAAAAAATCTTTCAAAATTTGTTGTCTTCATGCGGCGACGACTTTTCCACCGCTCGTTTGTTGGCCATGTCCAGCGTTGCCAGCTGTGGGTGGTTGAGATCGTGGCCTAACACCTCTGTGGGCACCAGGCTTGACGACGAGTCTGTGAGATTTGCCATTGGCTTCAGACTTAGCCTGGTCATTCAGAATAAATACACGTGCCGATGTGGCGCAGGGGCGGACGAGTTTGGGCACCACGGTTTGGTTTGTCGCCTGGGTGGGGGCCGTCAACTACGTCACTCAGCGCTAAACGATTACATTTGTCGGCTCTTCTCCAAGGCTTCAATCCCGGTTCTCAAGGAACCATCCGGCATTTCTGCGCATGATGGTAGGCGCCCGGACGGATGCACACTAATACCTTGGAGAGCCGGCAGATGTTTGGCGTGGGATGTTACGGTCCCTGGCACTCTCGCCGAACGATACGTAAACCTGACAAGTAAAGAATGCGGTTTGGCCGCGGCCAGGACAGCGGACGAGAAAATGAAAAAATATGGGAACGCCTTCCCCTCGATGGAATTCTTGCCAATATGCATCGAGGTTCTTGGCCCGATGGACCCCAACACCCTTAAATTTCTTAAGGAAATATGCGAAATGATCAGCGTCAGATCAGGCGACAGCAGGGAATTGTTTTTCGCAACTAACTACATTTCGTGCTTGTTGCAGCGGTTTCTGCGTGTCTGTGTGCTTGAAAATATCCAACTGAATGCCGACATGTGCAATTAACGACAAATCAAAGTGTTAATAGATTTGTTACTTGATGTTTGACGGTTCAGTGTCACTCATCATGTTTTGGTTTTAACATACATACATACATACAGACATACATACATACATACATACACACATACATACATACACACATACATACATACATACATACATACATACATGCATGCATGCATACATACATACATACATACATACATACATACATACATACATACATACATACATACATACATACATACATACAAACATACATACATACATACATACATATACATTTTTACAGCTGCTAGCTGTTGATCAATTGTTTTTTGCTGTTGATTTTTGGCGATTTTTCGAGTCGTTTTTGAGTATTTTCGGTTGACTTTTGGACGGACTATTCAGTTTAGTTTCAGAGAATTCAATTTTTCGGTTAATATCGATATTATAGGGGTTTTTGTTAATTTTTTAAGTTGAATTAATTTCCGTTTTTTAGTATACTCGTTTTAAGCTGCGTTGTACAATATTCAGGTTGTTGGTGATTGGACAATTGCTAGCATGCCGAAAGCTAATGATAGAGTGTGCACTTGTTGTAAAAATGAAATTAAAAGAACTGAAAAAGAATTCCAATGCAGTTCATGCAAATTTCATGTGCACACAAAGTGTGTAAACATATCTGATTCCTATTTACCTGTGTTTAAAATGAAACATGTGAAATTTCATTGCGATGGATGTCTGGAAATTTTCGAAAATTTTGACAATGCTTTAGTAAATGTTGATAGACATTTTGTAAAATTTGCAGTTGAAATTGCTACTATTCGCAAATCAAACAAACAGCTCATTTCTGAAGTAAATTAAATGAAACAATTGTTGAATAATTTGGGAAAAGATAGTGTGGCCGTCGGTCCTGAGTTTGCCAAAGAAATGGATATAATGAAAAAAGAGTTGAAGGTGAGCTTTGCTGATGTTGTTAAAGGTGAATTTTAAAATGAAATGAAATCCGTCAATACCGAGGTCATGAATGTAAGTAGAAAATTAGATGAAGAGAGTGAGCGGAAAAAGAGAGAAAATAATATATATTTGGTCTTAAGGAACAAGGTACAATATTTGAGGAAAAAAATGTTGTTTTAAAAATATGTAAAGAATTGTCATGTGATTTAATTGAAAATACTAATGATTTCAAAATAAGTAGACTGGGAATAAAAGGTGAGTCACCACGGCCTATGTTGGTTGCTGTCAGAAATAGCAATACCAAAACTGCCATCATGAAAAATTTGTTCAAAATCAAATCATTTGATTCTGATTTGAATAAAATTATAATTAGACATGATTTGACACCCCAGCAAAGACTGTCGTTAAAAAAAATGATTGATAAGGCAAAGGAAAACAGGCGAATGACCATACGGGTTTTTTATACAAGGTCAGGGGAAAGCTGGGGGAATGGAGAATAGTAAAATTCAAAAAGATGGAGTTAATTTAGAAGGTGTAAAATCATATAAATATAGTGTTGGGTTGGTTAATAATGGGGTTAAATTTGGGTTATTAAATATTAGGTCAATTATTACTAAATGGGGGGATGTATATCAATTATTAATGGAGGGTCTGGATATTTTTGTTATCGTTGAATCTTGGCATGGTTCCTCTGATCATATATCGGTGAAAATGCCAATTCCACCTGGATATATATTTGTTGATTATTTAAGAGTAAATGATCCATACCATGGGGGTTAATAATTTTTTTTCGAAATTGTTACAAATTTGAAAAAAAAATGTACCTGTTTTTTCATCATTTGAGGCACTTTGTTTTCCCTTGACAATTGATAAAGTTAAAAAACTTTTTTGGCGATGTATCGGCCTGGCTTTGTAATGATATCTTCATTGTTTTTTGAGGAATTGTCTTCAATATTAGAATTTGTAACATCACTATGTGATAAAGTAATTTTATTGTGTGATCTCAATATACATGTTGAGAAAAGTGATTGTGGTCACACTATCCACCTTAATAATTTATTTGATTTGTTTCTAATGCGTAATGTCATAAATGAGCCTACGCATAATTCAGGAGGTATACTAGACCTCATCGTGTCTGGTTATCAAATGTCGGTTAATGATATCAAGATATATCCGAGTGGGATACACTCGGATCATAGTTTGATAACGGCGTGTTTGCCTATATCACGTCCGCTTTCTCGTAAGATGAAAAAATCAGTGCGCTCTTGGAATCGAATTGATAAAAATAAATTGATTTCATTAATTCAAGAATCACCAATTGTTAAATTTGTGATATTATTGATGCAAATGAAGCTGCTGAGCTATTTAATAATGAATTATTAAAAATTGCTGATGCTGTTGCACCGATTCATATAGTTGAAACAAAAATTGTGGCGACTGCACCATGGTATGATGGTGAGTGTCGTAAGATAGGGCGTGATTGTCGAAGGGCAGAAAGAAAATATAGATTACATTATAGAATGGGGGACAAAAAATTGTGGGTTGAATCAATAAGGTTAAAAAACAACAATTTCAGGGAGAAAAAAGAAAATTATTGGAAAAAATTGGTTGATGAAAATGGTAATGATCCTAAAAAGTTATGGAGAATTTTAAATAAAATTTTATGTAAAGAGTCATCAAATGATTGTATTATGACCCATACAGCTAACGATTTTGTTGAATTTTTCATTAATAAAATTGAAGGGATAAAAAACAATATAACTGTAGCTGGAGAGCCTACTATAAAGTGTAGGTCTAATGTTGACATAAAATTTTGTGAATTTTCGCGGGTATCGCAGTCTGAAGTTAGAACCTTTGTGATTAGTTCTCCGTCAACCTCTTGTATAATTGATTGTATGCCTGCTAATATTTTTAAACAATATATAGATTATTTTTTGCCCTATTTTACGAAATTAATTAATTTGTGTCTGTCAACAGGCACATTTCCAGCTGTTTATAGGCATGCAATTATTATTCCTCTTCAGAAGCATGCGTCTTTAGACATGAATGAACTTAAAAGTTTTCGACCTGTCTCGAATTTAACTTTTATTTTAAAGGTTTTAGAAAGAATTGTTCATAAACAATTTTTAAAGTATTTAAATGATAATAACTTTTTGCCGAATAATCAATCTGGTTTCAGACGCTTTCATTCGACGGAGACGGCCTTGTTACAGGTATTGTCGGAACTTTTTGAGGTTTCTGATCGCAATCAGGTCTCTCTTCTGACTCTACTTGATATGAGTGCCGCATTTGACTGTGTGAATCATGATACACTGTTACGTCGATTATGTTTAAGTTACGGTGTCTGTGACTTAGCTTTGGAATTTTTCAAATCTTATTTGTGCAAACGTACCCAGCAGGTTTATTTTAATAATTCTTGGTCAAATACAGTTGATGTTTTGTCTGGGGTTCCCCAAGGGTCTGTTTTAGACCCGCTTCTTTTTACGTTATATATAGCCGATATTATGTATCTCGTTGATGAATTTTCTTGGTTATTGATTTTTGAAAAATGGCTACAGTTTTGAGTTTTAAAATAGATAAAAACCTATGTATGGGTGAACATATAAAGGTTTTGGTGAAATCTTGTTCATTTCAATTGTGGCAATTGAACAATTGAATCGAATTAAAAAGAGTTTGAACAGATCAACCATGGTTACTCTGATTCATTCGTTCATACATTCTAGATTGGACTATTGTAATAGTTTGTTTTATGGTGTTTCGAAACATGAGATTGCTAAGTTGCAGATGGTTCAGAATAGAGCTGTAAGAATTGTTGTTGGTGCTAGTCGTGTTGAACATATTAGCCCACTTCTGTCGGAATTGCATTGGTTGCCGGTCAACAAAAAAATTGTTTTTAAAGTCTGTGTTTTGGTTTATAGATGCTTAAACGGATTGGCTCCGCATTATCTGTCCGAAATGTTGATTGACAGATCATCGATTTCTTTAAAAACTGGCCTACGATCAGATCGGGGAAATTTGTTAGTTGTCCCGGTTACTAAATTAAAGATTGCATCACGTAGTTTTGCAGTTTATGGACCAAGGCATTGGAATGAACTTCCATATTTTTTGCGCCGGTCTGGTCTGACACTTCTCCAGTTCAAGAGTCAATTGAAGACATATCTTTTTTCCTTGTAGAAAATTGCCATAGTTGTATAGCGCCTATGAGAATGTTTTTAATAGGCGCTATATAAATGATCATATAATAATATAATGATAATAATAATAATAATAATAATAATAATAATAATAATAATAATACATACATACATACATACATAGATACATACATACATAGATACATACATACATACATACATACATACATACATACATACATACATACATACATACATACATACATACATACATACATACATACATACATACATACATACATACATACATACATACATACATACATACATACATACATACATACATTATGTACGTTACGTTACGTGAGCGATACGTTCGCTCAGCTGGTGTCGGCTTTCACATTTTAGTATTTCGCTAATTTTTAGTAATATTTCTGGTTTTTAAGGTTTTTGTTGCAATAATTTCGGTTTTTTTGGTGTGGTTTTTATTGGTTGTCGCTTTTTTGCCCTTTTTCGGATTAGGTTCCCGCCGTTCGGTTGGTTTTTTAACTTTTGTGGTCTTTTATAGCTGCACCGTACAATGCTCATTAATATTTATTTTTGTTTTCTCTATTTCATTCCCAGTTTTTCTTTTAATTTTTAAATTTATTTAAATTTAAAATTAAACCTTTTTATTTTCACCACAATTTTATTTATTTTATTTTATCACTGTTCACACGGTTTTATCTACTCGCTTTTGATTTTATTTCGTTGACGTAATGGCACCGGTCCTATACCAATGCACGGTTTGTTTAAATCATTATAAAATAAAACCGGACGGTAAACTATATCGACATGGAGGCAAAGTGAAGGGCCAGGAATGCCCTGGTTCGTTCAAGGCAGCTGACCAGCCTCCGGCTGGTTCATCTGCTTCCGCGCGACCGCCGCTTACCG